AAGCACCATGTCATCACACAGTAGCTGCCAAACAGCTCTTAGAGACTGAGAATATTGAACGTATGGATTGGCCGCACGATCTCCGGATCTCAATCCCATCGAGCATGTATGGGATTTTCTAGGCAGCTTGTACCTTACCACCAGTAACGATTCGGGAGCTTCGATTGGCGCTGCAAGACGAATGGGCAGCAATGCCTCAACAACTCATTGACACCCTCATTCTCAGCATGGGAAGACGCTGTGAAACCTGCCTAGCAGTCAGGGGAGATCATATCTCTACTAAAGACCAGATGTTTCTTGCTGGACACCCATCACAGGGATGTTTCGGCCTTCAGTCGCATTGCGCTCCATGCTACTTTTTCAATCAAGCTTCTTTTTATCCCTCTGATTTCTTTTTTAGGAAGTGTTGCTTACATATTACACATGTCCTTACGTATTGGGGATCTTACGGTATTAAATGTGTTGATTTGGAAAGCTTCTGTACAAAGTTATATTGAAAAAACCGTCTCGTCCTTAATTTTTGCACACCAGTGTATATTGAAATTTCGTAAGAGCAACCCACATTGATGACTAATCTTATCTTGTCATTGGTTGTACTCTTTCATCGCATACTTAAAAAAACTTTTTAAAAAAATTCAGATGTTCATTTAAGTTGTTTTTTAATTTTGCCATTGTTTTAAAAACCTTATTTTCATTATTGCTATTTAAACGTAATTATACAAAGAGTTGAGCTTTAACATAATTAAAAATGTTTAAATAATATCCCCCAGGTTGTCCTATAATCAATTTCAAACTTCGTTTTCAGTTAAAAAGAATTATGGTATAACCTCTAGGGAAAGCAGTATTATTTAAAATGTCAATATATCACAAGAGATGTTTGAAAAATATGTATTTCTTAATATAACTCACAAAGAAAAATCCAATTAGCTATAAATTTAAGGTTTAAAACTTTAAATGGATGCAAAGCCATGACATTTTTTTCACTTGTCTCGTTACTATTTTTAGTAACACTTTCGAAATCAATACTTTTTGTTCCTAGGCAGAGTGTTTCTATTTAATGCAACTCAGATTTGAATATTCTTGAACTGTTGAATATACTTGGTTTTTCGAATAAATTATATTTTTATGAATTTTAAGAGGGCGCATATAGATTTCACATCAGGATTGTATTTAGTATATATATACATACATACACTCTTTTTTTAAAAAAATCGAAGCACCAAGGAGTTGTTCGATTGTGATGAAATTTTGTAGGCAAAGATATCTTGATAGAATATACAAATGATCAAATTTTCAAGGCCAATGAACATGAATTGGGTCGTCGCGCACATTTCTCGTGAGCAACTCAAAAAATATAAAACCGGTAATAGAGGCGAAAAATGTATCTTTTTTCGTTTTCGCTGTTGTGATTCTCTAGAGAAAACAACGAATGATACGATAACGACGTTTCGAAGACCTTAATAGTCAACTGAATGACTTCGAACGTGGCCGCATTGTCGAATGTGTGAAGCTGAGTGGTCACACTGAGAAATAGGTCGTTACCTGCAGCTTACAGACGCAGCTGTGCAAAGATGGTGGCAACAATGGTTGTTGTGAGGAACTTATCGACAAAATGAACGTTCTGGAAGGCCAAGATGCACAAATGTGAGGCAAGATCGGAGGATTCCCCGACAGGCCCGAACTGCTCCAACGGTATTATTGTCTATTATGCAAGGCACTACAGCTTCTTCACTATCTCCGTGGTACCTTCCACCATTTCAAGGCGTTTGGCTGAAGCCTTTAAGATGTCTGCCTTTAACCCCTACAACATCAGCGGAATCATCTGGAGTGGCGTTGAAGCCAATCATCATGGTTTCCATCGAAGTGGCATCTTATAGTGTTCAGCGATGAATCTCACTTTACTCTTGAAGCACATGATCATCGTCTGAAGAGGCTGGTGCCAACGGTCTCAATTAGCCTTTGTTTTACAAAGGCATACAGTTATATGGTATTTCATACGACAACAGGTCAACTCTAGTCATTCTCTATACATCTTTAACATCCCAACAATATGTTGATTCTATCCTGTGGCCGGTTGTGTTATCCTTTATGGCACGTCATCTTTGGGCCAGTTTCCAACAAGATAATGCCAGGCCCCATACCGCTCGCATATCTCTGAACTACCTTCATGCCGTTAATACATTTCTTTTGCCAGACCTTTCACCAATCGAACCTGTCTGAGTCATGGTACAGCTCTAGATCCGGGCACTCCAAAATATCGCCGATCTGAAGCAACAACTGGTGAAAGCCTGGCAGAATGACATTAGGAACCTCTATAACTATTAACCGAGACGTATGCAAGCATGTATTCCAGTCACGGGTGGTTCTTCCAACCACTGATTTGAACATTCAAACTGTAATTGTGAGCTGTGGATGCACCCTATGAACTTGATATTTTTGTCATTTTATTATCTGTGTATGAGCTGTACACATATTTAATTTCATTAAAAACAACCACTTCCTTCATGGTGCTTCGAGTTTTTTGCTAAAGATTGTATATATATGTATATAGAATATATATATATTAAAAATAATATATTATCAATAAATATTTTATGCATCCTTATTTTAGAATTTTACCACATAAAACGCCATACACTAGAAAAAAGTATGCAATAATTAGCATTCAAAATTACAAAGAGTCTAATTTGAGCTTGTTATTGCAATGTCTAAGTGATGTGTGTATAAGCTATAATCGAACCAAAACCAATAAAATGTAATACTTTTATATATATATATATATATATATATATATATATATATATATATATATATATATATATATATATATATATATTAAATAATAAATTAGCTGAGCTGTTTTCAGATAAGCCAGGTTAAATGAAAGTTTTACATATCAAGACATGTACAGTCAAACCTGTTTTAGTGCTGTCTTTTTTATGCGATTTCTTTTTCGTGCGAAAGGATGTTTTTTGTGTTAGGACCCCCCTCCCCTTCTGCCTGAAAGTCAGGTTTCGCCTTTAATATTTTATAAATTTTGTAAATACGTATTTAGTGTTAGTCAAGCCTTCGGCTCCTAGAGTCCTTCCCCCCTCCCGTGTCAGGACTCAATGGCTTTGGCTCCACTGTAATGTTTTCTATCTATTTACCAGTGGTGTAACGAATAATGTTAGAACCCCCCTGAAAGTCAGGTTTTGTCTTTAATATTTAAAATACGTATTTAACGTAATTTAGGCCTTGGGACCCTAGAGTCCTGCCTCCTCCCCTTGATGCTGGGATGTACGTTACGCCACTGAAATGTAGACACTTCAAGACGCTCTGTTCATTTGTTATAAACAGTCTCCCGACAATGCGCATTCAGTTGCTTTCTCTCAACGCTCCAGCAGCCCGCGCTTAATTGAAGACGAAACTTTCAGTGACAGTGTCATTATCAATAATTTGATAAATTATGAGGACGGACAAGAAACCAGATTCTTTGAGAGCGGATAAAAATATGCAGGGATCCAGCTTTCCAACAAATTGGAAAAGTATTTTCTTAAAAGAGATACCAGTTGAGAAAGGAGTATAAAATTCCAAAAAGGGCGCCAATCATGTAAAGCTGGTTATCCTGACATTTACAAGCAACTGACCACCCATCCTTTGTCATAAAAACTTATCTCTTACTTTATGTTGCTAAAAAATAAATCAATTGAAATAGCACCTTCAAGTGACGAAAGCGATTTTGAACTTATTCATTACAGGGGCTTTGAATTATGATGAGTAGCGATGAATTATGTATATGCATTTTAAAGACTTATCCGTACATAGAATGAGAAACTATATGTTTTTAAAATGTCTCCATGTGTAATATTTAGTTATTTATTTTGTTATAGAAGTACTCTTACATATATATATATATATATATATAAATTTAGTAAATAATTGGCATAATTTATATATGCGACTTTTTTTATGCGGTCCCTATTCACCACAAAAAAAGGTTTTGTAGTATTTCCTTAAGTTAGTTTATTATACGAGTATGCAAGAATTTATGAAATTTTTGAACATTTTTTTGCGCGATTTTTTTATGTGGTTTCTATCTACCGCACAAAAACAGGTTCAACTGCACTAATAAATAGAGAAATAGAATTAAAGTTTATTTCTTGGGGATCATTTACATTCACAATTTAACTGCGCATTAATAATTTTAGTTTCCCTCTCAAAATGATCTAACAATGAACATTTTAATTATTTTCGCTTCATTAATGTATTTTGTTTTTCATGAAATAAATACTGCATCGATTTTGAACTGAAAAAAACATCAAAATAATTACCCAATATATTGAAAAATACAATAAAAACTTAATTGAATTTAATAATTTATAACATGTTTGATACCCGTTTGATTGAAATAAATGTTTACAACATATTTTTCTTCATCTGAGAATACTTTGCACTGTATTTAAATGATTACAAAATAATTTATCTTGTGATTATTTCATTATGATCTTTTTGAAATACATGGTAACTTTTTGATGCAACTTGTTTTTTTTTCTTACAAATTTTGAAATAAATTGAAGCAATATGTATTTATATTTGGAAAACAACAAAATGCAAGTTTAATGATATCATTTACTAGAAACAATCACAATATTGCAACGACTAAAATTTTGCTAATATATTAAATATAGTATAACTATTTATCTCGTTCTGGGATAAACACTTATAGTATAATATATTTTTACCCTTCTAATTTCTTTTTTCAGTTCTTACTATTAGTTCAGACTCTCTCTCTCTCTCTCTCTCTCTCTTTCTATATATATCTTGTTCAAATTTTCAATCGCGTTCATAAAACACTTTTTATTCATCCACCCAAGTTCAAATCCATTTTTTAACTTGTAGTGGATGACACCTGATGTTAATACAGTTTTTTCATACATTAATTAATTAATTAATGATTAATTATAATAAACAAAAATAATAGTTCAACACCATACATTAAAAAGAAAATCGCTCGTTGTATCCCTGTAGCGCAATGGGTGACGCATTGGACTTCTAATCAAAAGTTATGGGTTCGAGTCCCGCTAGGGATGGCCTAATTTCTGAGAATGTGATTTCTTTTTGCTGTACTATTTTATTGGAATGATTAAATTTAATTAATGAATAAATATAACAAACAAATATATAATAGTCCAACACCATATACAGAAAGGAAAATGGAAAATTGAAAGGAAAATCGCTTTCTATTTTGCCACTTAATATTGTGACTTTAATTTGCCACTTAATATTGTGTATTGTATATATATATTTATATTAATTGTAATTATTTAATAAAAAGTAACCAAAATAATTTTTTTTTGTTGACCTAAGCAGGAATTGACTTTAAAAACCTTTTTTATATTACTTATCTTTATTAATAATAACCCTTCACAATTTTATTTCCTATGTTCAGGCAAATTATGCAATTTATATGGAAAATAATTTTTTAGAGGAAAATTCATCAGAAAAGTAAATGGGGGAATAAAAAAACGCATAAAAATTTCATTACTAAAACAACACAACGAGTTATTAATAACTTGATTCAGTAATTTACAATTTGGTCAAATGACGCGAACAGCATTATGAATTGCTACATCACTTGTCAAATTTCCTCAACATGCTATATGCAGAATTAGAGACCCATTTCGCGGTAATATGCAGTAGCCCCGTTATTCCGCATGACAGTGCGATCAGACCATAATTTGCCACCCATCTCACCCATCATTTTGCTGCTGCATCATTGAAACGAATGACTTCGATCAACCTTATTCGCAATTATATTGGAAGTTCAGTATGAATATTCATTTCAATAATGATTATGAAGTGTTGTTAAACAGTTTTCTGATTTATCACCGTAGATTATTTTAGGAAGAAATAATTAACCTCATGTTCGTCTGTAAAAAGTAGGAACATGATTATAGTATAATTTTACCGTACACTTTTACAATAAAAATTAAAATTTGAATTTACAGGAGCGCGTTATACGTTGGAATACATAAAAATGATGGCTTTAAAAATAAAAACACAAGTAATATAAAAATAAATTAAGACAGTTTCTATTTAGGTCAACAAAGAAAATATTTATTTTAGTTCTTTTTTATTAAATAGTTACAATTAATACAAATATGTATATACATATGCCAGAATCACAATATTAAGTTACAAAATAGAAAGCGATTTTCCTTGCAAAGTTCCATTTTCCTTTCTATGTATGGTGTTGGACTATTTTTGTTTGTTTGTTTCTATTTATTTGTTAATTAAATTTAATTATACTAATAAAATAGTATAGTAAAAAAAATCACCCTCTCAGAAAGTAGGCTACCCCAGGTGGGATTCTAACCCACGATCTTTGGATTAGGAGCCCAACGCACTATCCATTGCGCTACAGGGATGAAATGAACACTTTTCCTTTCTATATATGCTGTTGGACTATTATTTTTGTTTGTTACTATTTATTCATTTTTTTAAATTTAATTAATGAATTAATATTTGACAAAACTGTATTAGCATCAAGTGTCATCCACTACAAATTTAAAAAGAATTTATTTGAACTTGAATGCATAAATAGAAAGTATTTTATTAAGGATTAAAAGTTTGAACAATGAACAATACATATATATATATATATATATATATATATATATATATATATATATATATATAATCCAATATAAAAGAATTTTTTCAATATATAATCATATACATATTCATACACATATATATAAATTTATACACACATATACATATACATAAACAAAAATATAAAAATAATCATATAGTAATTAATATACCTAAGATAACTAAAAGTAGGAAGAAGGCACATAGTATAAATTCAAATTCCTGGCCTTAGGAACCAGGATTGCAGGTTTAAACAAGTTTTGCGGCACCAACCTTCACCTGTAATTTGTCATACTATGTACCAAGAGGAAAGGAAAAAGAGTTATAAATGTATAATTAAATATTAAAAATCATTAAACTAAATAATATAGGAACATAAACATAACCTACTAAATTGGAGTAAAGCGATGGCCAAGAGTGCAGTAACATGTTCCCGACAAATAAAGAGAGCAGTACCGCATAAAGTTAATTGCGATATATATATATATATATATATATATATATATATGAAGAGTGTGAATTAATAGTAGAAATTGAAAAATATAAGCATAAAAAAGTTAGAATTCTACTTACATCTAAATACTATTTATTTAAAAGAAATGGCATGAATAGATAGCATGAAAAATTCGTCATGTTTGTCTTCAGTCACATCTCAGGTTTCTGTTTCATCTTTTCACCATCACTGATACCCTGATCTACATAAATAATCTTCTTCCATTCCATCTATATTGTTAAATATACTACATTTTTCAATTCCTGCTCTCTCTCTCTCTCTATTAGTTTACACTCTCCTTATACATATATATATATATATATATATCCTACTTTTAGTTATCTTAGGTATATAACTATATGATTATTTTTATATTTTTGTTTATATATGTATATGTATATGTGTGTATAAATTTATATATACGTGTATGTATATGTATATGATTATATATTGAAAAATTCTTTTATATTTGATTATATATATATATATATATATATATATATATATATTGTTCAAATTTTCAATTGTTAATAAAATACTTTTTATTCATCCACTGAAGTTCAAATACATATTTATTAAACTTGTAGTGGATGTCACTTGATGCTAATTCATTTTTTTCGAATATTAATTCAATAATTAAATTAAATGAACAAATAGTAACAAGCAAAACTAGTTGTCCAACACCATACATAAAAAGGAAAAAAGCTCGTGTTGTCCTTGTAGTGCAATGGATAGCACGTTGGACTTTTAATCCGAAGGGCGTGGGTTCGAATCCCACCTGAGAAGGCCTAATTACTAAGTATGCGGTTTCGTTTTGCTGTACTATTTTTTTGGAATAATTAAATTTAATTAATGAATAAATAGCAGCAATAAACAAAAATAATAATCCAACACAATATATATAAAGGAAAATGGAAAACTGCAAGGAAAATGCTTTTCTATTTTGTTATTTAATATTGTGATTCTGTCTTATGTATATGCATATTTATATTAATTGTAATCATTTAATAAGAAGTAGCTAAAATATATTTTTTCTTTGTTGACTTAAGTAGGAAATGACTTTATTTTTTTTATGTTACTTGTTTAAAAATGACTTTAAATTATGTCAGGTTTATTTGAATTCCATGCTTTTATTATCCATTTACACACTATGTCTAGAATTCAAAAGGTAATACATGCTCATTTTAGGTTTCTTAGTAAAAAAAAAGCTTGCACATTATACAGTGGATGTACCTGAAAATGAAGAACTACAGTTTGAAAGTATATAAGTGTGCGTTATACGTCGTTGAAAGTAGTACATCAAAATATACGGTAATTTTTAACTTAGAATATTTTTAAACATATGTTGTTATACATGTCGAGATCAAGAATTAATTCTACCAAAAAATAACATTAAATAACAGCAAACTTTTAGATTTATTTTGACTACAAATGTGTTCATAAATATATTCTTAGAATGCATGGTTACTGCTATTAAAGATAAGTGGGAAAAAACGATTAAACGTTGTAATCTAAGTCGATCCAACAATCCAGAAACCTCCCGAATAGCCGAGATAAAACTTTAATTTAAAATTATACCCACAAAAGAGAAATGTCGACTCTTAAAATGAGAAAAGTTAATGAAGGGTATATTTAGAACAATTCTTTATTTTCCAAGGGGAAGATTAAAATTCTTCCCGCTGTATTTTAAGAGAATGATATTCTGTTTGCTCAATAGATTTAGATAATACTTTATTCTTTCCAACGTGTGTCTTTCGAATTTTATTTAAATTGTTCTGTTTCATTCTTACATCTAACATATTCTAGTATTTGTTTCTTAAATCTATAGTTAAGTATTAAATATCTTGTGTATTTTAGCATTTTCGATACTTAGTTTTGTTGTGAATAATAAAACAATTGAATTATATCTTTTATCTTGAAAATTGTTCAGTAATATTAGAAAACATATACCTTATCAAAAGCATTAATGTGTGAGATATAGTGTTAAGCCTATTTTTAAGATATAGGCAATAAAACTTTAAGAAACATATGGAACCAAACAAAATATCTCGTTTAATTTTAATACAGATTTTCCAAACGTTGAGACCATACTACTATGACTATTTTATGAATAATAATTTGCTATCAATGGGAAACCATGACTAATTAGCAGGGTTAGGAACTTATAAAAAATTGCTTACATCCCTGCTCTAGTTATTTGCTAACATAATGATCGTTTTGACGTCAGTTACTTTCAAGCATTATCCAGTACATTATCGAGCAAAAGCATATATATGTTAAGTTATAAAAGCATAAATTTTAATCTTAGTTAATAGTTTAAGTATTATTTGTGTGTGTGTGTTTCCAATTCCTTATATTCACTGCTTTTTGTTACTTAGATTGGTTTGGGTAATTATTAGAAAAGAGTAACATTTTAAAAGGTAATGTATTTAATGATCGCTCCATAATTCTTAATATGTGTTATTAAAATATATTCTTATACACAGTATTACATAGGCTAATTACATTTTATGTGTGTTAGTGGTTTTTAATAAAGGTATTTATATTTAAAGAAGAGGTAGCATAACACTTTTTTAAATATCCATAAGCCTTAAATACATCCAAAATTTGATATGTAAAGATTCAAAACAATTACTTTAATTTTTAAATGTAATAACTAAGTATTAAAAATGTATGTGATTTAAGAGAAAGTATAAAAATGAATCAAGAGCGACTACCTTTCACTCCTAAGTGAAATATTATAAATATAACTCTTAATTGTTGTGAGCTACCTTTTAATAAACATCTACAATTCTGCTGCTATTTTAAGTTTAAAACTGTTTTCTTGTATTCTGTTGACTCATTTCGTCAAAATTACTCCAATTATTTAAATTATATCGCTTACCTAAAGAAATGTATTACTGTAACATATTCTTTGAAATATGCAAGTATTAAACTAAATTGATTCAAATATATTTCTAGATTTCCAAAGCCAGACTATATAATTTCTACACATTTCAATCAAGATGCCTGAAATGTTTTGCAAATAAATAGGTTTTATGCTTGTATATGTTGCTTAAGAGAGGAATGTGATCTATTATCATTTGAAATATATAAAAATTTTGTTTTGTCCGTTTTTTAAAATCTTTTTTTTCATCATCTGTGTCCTTTAAGTAAACAATTTAAAGCAGAATCAACTTCAAATGATTGATGGTGTTTATCTCGCTTAAAAGATATAATAAACATCTTTATTAATATGTCGATCCAGGAATTAGCTTATGTTTCGTAATTTATCAGAAAGTTTATAAAGAAAAGTGGCGGTTAGTGGCCAAGTTAATTAGTGTGTTATGGTTTGTCTTGTTGAGATATTCCATCACGTTTTACAAATCCTTCAAGTTGCTGAACTTCCTTTTTTTAAAAAAAAAACAATTCCCTTCTCTCTCGATGATTAATTTGAATTTCTCCAATATCCTTAAAAATATGTTTCCTTACGCAACATTTGAGTTCAATTTCAATTTGCGATAACTTTTTTCCGTGCAATGCTTATGATATTCTTGAAAGAACTTAGAAGTGGATTTATTCATATATATATTTAACTACAACAGAGGGGAGAAAATTTAAGAAAAAAACGCTGATAATTATTTCAATTGGTTGTAACTCTGAAAATAATGTGAATTTTTCAAAAAAAAAAAATAGTTCAGCCTCTTTGGAGAAATCTTTACTTTATATAAGCAAAATATTATTATTTTAGAAGCATTTTTTATAAAAGGGGAACATTTTGAAAAAAGGTTATTCTAAGTAAATTTTTTTTGCCAAAATATATTGTATTTAATTTTTTTTTTTTTGTCAAAATGTCCTTAAAACATTTTATACAAGTATTCTAATCTAAGTGACACTAAATATTATGAAAATTATCTATTTATGCGCTTTTTTAAAACCACAGTTCCAAATGTAGTCGGATATCTTAATAGTTTAGTTTCGAAAATTAAATGTTTCTTTAATCATAATAGCAGACCCTATCTTATATATAAAAGGTCTTTTTATCAATAAAAAGGGAGATCTCAAGGAATAATTTTTAGTTCTCTGTAACATAATGTAGAGTGTATACAACATGTGTTCAATCACCTTCCAAAAATTTATAGAATTGAATTTATAATGTAATCCCGCACACTGTAGTACTTGGTCTATACTCCGAGCTAAATGGTACCAAAGAAACAACTCCATTGCGCTAGAAGGTCAATAAGGTTTCAAGGTCACCTTGAAGCTACAAGATGGACCGATTTTCCGAAGTAGATTGGATTTATCCACAGTGAATGTGAAAATTCAAGTTAGTCCTATGCAACACGAAAACCAAGAATTGAGTCAGAAATTTCCATCTTTCGTATCATGTGTTGTCATACTATAGATTTTGACTCTTAACTCAGTGTTGCCTTAAGGTAACACTCCCTGTTTATATAAATGTCCACATAAGTAATCGAAAAAATATCCAGATATTTGTGTATCTGACTTCTTCTTATTATCTTGAATCCAAAAAATCAAATGAATCCAAGTTTGAGTTACAGAATGTTATGTAGTGAGTTATGTAAGTTAGGATTGTGACGGGGCGCATCATCGCGATTTCAATTAACTGTCCTCTTGGGATTTCTTTGGGGCCCGAATGGCAATTCTTTCCAACCAACTCAAGAAGAAGAACGTTTTATATTGTAAATTAGAATCATATATATATATATATATATATATATATATATATATATATACGTATATATATATTGGAAGTTTAGCATTCGCGAGGTTTCTACGAAGAAAGGTAGTGACAAGGTGATACGAAATATAGTCTAGAAGAGGAATCTTTAGTCTGGGAATTAGCCTAACAGTGCCGGTACACATTAGCCAAAAGTGGTTCCGAGCCCAACGGAGTATGGCCGGATTAAAACCAGAACAGGAGTTATAAAGACCGTAGCTGTTTATCTAGGATATAGCGGTAAGCTTGATAAATTAAACTTTAAGTATAAAGTATAGTATAAAGTATAAAGTAAGTATAAAGTATTGATATAGAATTTAATCTATAAAGTTAGATTCAGTGGTTATAAATGCGCTATTGATTGGTAATACGTGTTGCGTCTTCTCATTCTTGATCATCCTCCTTAGATTATTCTTGTTGTTGAATTGTGTTTAAAATAATATGTTAATAAACAGATTTTAGTATGAATGACTTTAGTAGTTCTTCGTTCATCCGCACAGACACAGGTCGCGTGGATAGTGTAGAATGGGTGTCCCCATCGGCAGGGACTTCACAGGACAACAAGGCATCGTTCCATGTGTCGTCTTCATTATTTGATCACGATTTAAATTTACAAGACCTTCGCATCTTTTTTGTGTCACTCATCTGGTAAAGTGGTTAGTGACACTGACTGCTGTGCAGTAAAGTCAGGATTTGAATTCCAGAGAAGGCATGGATGCTTATAAATGCATAGTGCCTTCGCGGCTTGGAGCTGAATAGTCATCGGCTTGCGGCTAAATATCCATCTAGCCGCATGTCCTCTCGTGAGGTTGATATAAGAGGAGAAGATGTGAGAAGCCCCCTGATCACTCCCCCAGGGTGTACTCCCTCAAAGTTTGGGTGGAACCGATCCAAATGGTACCTTCATCTGCATGCAACTCAAAGATATGGCTAACGACAGGCGTATCATCTAGCCCTTTGTCATAAGTAATTTTGCGGGCCTCGATTTGGCACTGCAGATCAAGTGGCAGTAGCAACAACACCTTTTTGATGCATTAAAATATTCTTCTTTTACACAATTCAAAAT